AGCCAGACATGAGAACCTTCCTTGAGCGACCATTCCTTCATAAGAATGACTTCTGCCAGTCTCAACCAGTCTTTGTCCTCCCCACCCACCAAAGCCTGTCTCTTATACACATCTAGATGTGTATAAGAGACAGACCCTCGGCTCTGTATTAGAAGACCATCCAAACAACAGTGGTTCCACCACAATCTTTTCCTGGGACTCTCTTACTAACTGACAGACGGGATCATTCTGGGTATCTAACTCATATACTCTAACCTCTTCCAGATCCCGGGTTGAGACTACCGTCTCTTTCTCTTCCATGACCAGCTGTCTACCTCCACTTCTAGGACCCCTTTTCCATTTCTGAATCTTGGTCCCGGTATTCAAGTCAGGACCTAGAATTTTCCAGAATCTGGGCCTCGCCACACCACTCTCGAATCTCGAAAATTCGTGAGTCGGGCACCGCCACACAGCGTCCCTCGAAAAAAAACGCGAAACTGTTCGAGAGCTGTCAGGAAGGCGTTTTCGAGTGCCCTCTCGAAACGACGTTTTCGCCCAGCCTGCAGCGTTGGAGTTTTCGTGATACCGCCCCTCCGCGCTCGAGTTCGACGTCCATTTCSAGAGTTGTCAGGCCGTTTGTTCGTGATGCCGCCTGTACGTGCTCGAGTTCGTCCATTTCGAGAGGCCGGTCTAGTGTGCTATGTGGCGAAGGGCCATTTTCTCTCGAAAACCGGCCTCTCGAAAAATCCTGACAGCTCTCGAATATTTTCGAGATTCGAGAGTGGTGTGGTGAGGCCCTCTGTCCTGGTTTCCAGGATCTTCTACCCAGCATCCTGCGTTCAAATCGCTGTCTTTGGCTAGGCTAAGCACCCTGGTCCAATGGGCTGGTATTGCTTGTTTGAGCTCCTCGTAGTTCTGCTGAACTAATCTGTGTCTGGGGATCCTTCTCTTGATCTCTGGAAGCGGGAACCAATCCTCTTTCTCCTCGTCCACGATATCCTTCAGTTGGATCAGCCCATGTTCTATCCAAGACCTCCCAAAAGAGCCTGGATTGCTGTCTGCCATCAGTTGATCCAGCCCATTACACCGGATGAACCGGTTTTCAAAAAGAAGCTGGTTTAAAATTTTGCCCTTTGACTTTGGTTCCTCCAACAGTTGAGGCCTCACTTTATTCCAAGCATGGAGAATGTTGCGCCACAGAGGTGACTTCAGTCTTCTTTGACAGTAGGAGCCAATTAGAAAGCAGAGCCAGACATGAGAACCTTCCTTGAGCGACCATTCCTTCATAAGAATGACTTCTGCCAGTCTCAACCAGTCTTTGTCCTCCCCACCCACCAAAGCTGCCACTGGCCATTTGACCAACAGAGCTATATTTTGGTCTCTGGGGTCTAATATTCCCAGGCCCCCTTGGTCCCTCGCACAACATACGATTTCCCATGCAGCCTTCACGATAAAGCTCTGTTGTTCTGTGGCTGTAGGCTTCCATAAGTATTTTGCGGCGACCCTTCTGATTATCTTGTATGCCTCATCCCCCAGCCAATGGATCGTCATCCGGAACCAGAGAATCGAGAAGGCCGCTGTAGAGAGAACTAAAACCCTGCCAAATAAGGAGAGTTGGTGGTTATGCACCCACCCATTGATTCTTGCCACCACCTTTTCCAGCATTATATTATCCTGGGTACTGGAACAATTCGTGAGTGTCACCTGAACCCTTAGGAACCTGTCCACCTTATCCGCAGGAATCTGCCGTAAGCCCCAATCTACATCCGACGTGAACTGCTGATGTAGAAAAAATACTGACTTGTCCCAATTGATGGACGCCTCCGACAATTCGCAGAACTTGTCTAGAACACTTTTTAACTTCTCCAGGGAGTCTTTCTTGTTTATACATGCAACGGTCAAGTCATCAGCTAACGCACTGCCTTTCCAGTGAACATAAGGAGGTAGGTGTAACCCCACAATCTTATCGTTACTCCTAATGTTAAGACGTAACACCTCTAGTTGGGTCACGAACAGGAGGGGGGCCAAGGGACAGCCCTGTCTGAGGGACCTTGACAGAGGGAACTCAGATGATCGCTGCCCATTCACCATGACTACTGAGAATGCCTCCGTGTACATCGCTTTGACCCAGGTACAGAATCCGCTCCCAAATCCCATTTTATCTACTGTTGTATATACGAAAGTCCACCCCACTTTATCGTACGCCTTTTCCATATCTAGGAGCAAGACCGCGACCTCTTTCTTCTCTCTCCCTATCACTTCCAGGGACTGGACCGTCGACATTATATTATCAAAGATAGATCTTCCCTTGATAAAGGCCCATTGCTCCCTCCCTAACAGCTTTGGCAGATAATTGGCTAGGCGAATCGCTAGGGCTTTGGCCAAAATCTTATATACTACGTTAAGCACCGATATTAGTCTGTAATTCCTTACCTCCCTCTTATCCCCTTTTTTGTACAGGAGAGAAATAGGACCAGATAACTAGCTGTTAGGCAGATGGCCTGATTCTAGGCAGCTATTAAAGATCAGACAAAGAAAGGGAGCAAAGGCCTCTCAAGTACACAGGAACAGTTCCACCGGTAGTCCTTCCAATCCTGGGCACTTCCCCCTTGACAGCCGTATGGAGTTCCTTAATGGTAAACGGGGCGTCCATGGCTTGCTTCCCTGCCTCTGAAATACTTACCTTCAGACCATCCCAATACTGAGAGACCTGGGAGAGATCTGTACTCGCAGTATCGAAAGGTCTTTTTGTAGATACGATGTTTTGGAAGTACGCTTTGGCGAAAGTGCACATCTCCCTTGTGTTGGAAGTTGCCAGTTCATTTAGGCTGAAGGGGTGTACCAGTTCTCTTATCACTGGTTTCACTTGTTTCAAGATTAGACTCCTGAATGTTAGTTTGGTCATCCGGTCATACCCTACCACTCACCTCACCTTAAGCCACTCCAGCCATTCTTATTGCTTTTTCGTTTCTAGCCTTTCCAAGATGGTTAGGTTTTTCTTTCACTGTAGCACCCAATAGTATTCAGTGAATGGATCCCCTCCCATCTTTAGTTCGGCTTCTCTTACTGCTTCCTTGGCTTGTGTCTCTTCCCAAGTCCTATTTGCTGCCAGCAGTCTTGAGAAGTTTTCCAATGCTGTTGTTACGATCCCCAAGCCCACCTCCGCCCAATCTTCCTCCCGTTTAAACAGATCCTTTGCGCCCATCCAACCCTTCATTTGCCTCACCACCCAGTCTGGGATCCCCTTTACTTTCAGATGGTTCACGTTAAGCCGGAATAGACGACAACCCTTTTCAAATTGATCCTTAGCCGCTATGTCCATACAAACTGGGTAGTGGTCAGATACCCAAGAGACAAAAGTGTCACACCACCAGCATCTATCCCAGACTGCTCCCCTGGCCAAGAGGAAATCTAGTCTCCTTTTCGGTTGTGGTGCAGTGACAGAGGGGCGCGGTCCCACTCAAGTAAACCCATTTAAGTCTGGGTTTAATGTTCTCTACACATCCTGCAAACTTTGGGCTTTCATCAAGGATAATTGCATCCTGGTATCTTCTCTGATTTGAGAGGGATTAAGGGAGTCCAAACCTGGGTTAAAGATAGTATTCCAGTCTCCAGCCATGACTAGATTTTCCACGTCTGGAATCCGCGACGGCAGATCCGCAAAAAAAATTGTCCTTTCCTTGTAATCGACTGGGGCGTAGATCGACATGATAGCCCAGTCCTCCTCGTCTACTGCTAATTTTACCCTTACTACCCTGCCCCTAGGGTCTATAAAAGAATCTAACACATCAACTTCCAAATCCTTGTGGATTAATAACGCTACCCCACCACGTGTCTCCTCCGCAGGGGCCCAGAACTGAGGCCCCTTCCACCAACCCTTAGCTTCTTCGATCTTGTCTACATTCAATTTGGTCTGAGACTCTTGTAAGCATGCTATCTGCACGTTGACCTTCAAACCGCCATCACCAAACACCTGCCTCTTCTGAGCCTCAAGGATAACTCGCCTTGCTCCCTGCTTCTGGCCAAACCGCCACAGCAGATCCACAAGGGCATTATAGAAGGCCTTACGGGTATCGCCATCTGTACTCCCAATCTGATCGAAGAGAACTGATGCCCTCTGCCACACCCCCTCGTCGTCCCCCTTTAACAACCCATGTACCCGTGGTATCACCCAGTCCTCTGACGTTCAACTTAAGATTCTAATCTTGTTGGGCAAGACCATTACACTGGTCGTTGCCGCCAGGGATTTGGATGCGGGGAGCTGGCACTTCTGCCTTCATTTCCTCTGATACTAATTTTTCCTCCAACTCGGACTCTGTGGCCCACTCATGCATAATTGGGCCCGTTGGTGGCAGTTGTTGATGAACATCAACTCTGCTTAACCAATCTGCCACTGATTCACCATTGAGGTTGTCCCCCATTCTGATCCCTCTGAGTACCATTGAGTCCAAGGATAAGAAGGGATTTATCGGAACCCAGTGGACATGCAATTGCTGCCACTGTTCTTTGGAGACTTCTAAGGCTAGGTGAAGAACCGTCTTGCCTCCTTCCTCTGTCTTCATCAGGCGTCTTCCCATTTTCGGATCTTGGATGAGTGAAACCGTGCCCATGTCTTTAAGAACCACGGACTGTGTCAGATTCACCACCGAGGCCTCTGTGGGCTGGCCCTGAACTTGTAAAAAAGGTAGATCCAAGATTTTGTCACTGGCTTGAGTGGTAAGTACGCACAGACCCATCTGAGTTGACGTACAGATTAGTTGAACTAGGTAGTGCTTCACATTGCCATTTTTATCCTTTCTTGATAAAGTCCTCATTTGCTCTGCGAAGCTTAGTTCCCTTTTTTCTGAACGTGCCCCCATCGTTCTCTTGCGGTGCTCCGCTAGCAGGGGGTCCGTATTTTTAGTCCCCCCAGATTGATCCGGGACGTCTGTATAATATTTTCTCAGAACACTTGACCCATCATCCAACTTACATTTCTTCGATGGAAGGCTATTGATCTTCCCTTCGCGCTGCGTTTCTTGAGGTCTACAAGCGTTTTTCTTACTATTTCTTACCTGTTTTGGACCTACCTTTTTGGTTTTTTTTTTCGCTTGAATCAGCAGGGTGTCCTTTGGCTCCTCTACTGTTCCCTCCACCCCTTGTGCCACCTCCTGCTCTTCTTTAGTATTGCTCTTTTCCTCCAAAACCATGTCGGAGCTTTCCCCTTGATCCAGGGGAGATGGCAGGTCATCGGGGGCAGGGGGCGAGGCTTTATCGGAAAAAAAAACAATTGCAGCATGGTCAAAGGACTCCACCAATGCCTTAAGCTCCGGATGGCTGTCTTTCAACTCCTCTCGTTCTCCGCCTTTTCCATCTTCCATCCGTTTTCCTTTCCCTACTCCTCCACTGTTCCCTCCAGTGGCACCCCTTGTGCCAGCTCCTGCTCCTCTTTTGTACTGCTCTTCTCCTCTAGAGCCATGTCGAAGCATTATCCTTGATCCAGGGGAAAAGGCAGGCCACCGGGGGCGGGGGGCGAGGCTTTGTCAAACAGGACACCTAATGCAGCATGGACAATAGACTCCACCGATGCTGGGTGGTTGTCTTTCACCTCCTCTCGTTCTCCACCTTTTCCTTCTTCCATCAGTCGACCTTTGCCTATCTCCTCCCCTGGTCCCTTTTCCTCATCCTCCCCCCCCTTCTTCTCTATTGATTCCATTTCCTCGACCTTCTCCACCTCTTTCCTTACCTCTTCACTTTCCTCTTCCCTTTCACACGGGTTCCCCCCCCTGTCCTTCCCATCCTGCTTGCCCTGCTTATTTCCTTCCAACTTTGGTTTCGTCCCCGACTACGGTCCTGACTTCTGCTTCACTTCCACCTTTTGTACTGGTTGACTTTTTTGCTTTTTTCTCCATTTCCCCTTGCGTCCATCCTTCCCGACTCTTGCTTTCTGTTGACGGGGCTGGAGGCCCAAGCCTTTTGTCTGGGGGAGGGGGAAGGGAGGGGGTTGAGAGGAGGATTTTTCCCCTTTGCTACCCTCCTGGCCCTTTTCCTCTGCACCTGCTGGGCCATTATTCCCTTCTGCTCCTTCAGCATTCCTCCTCCACTCCCCTCCTCGGGGACTACGAAAGTTGATTCCCAACAGACAAAGCACAGCACCTGAAGCAGCGGCAGTGGGGCTTTTCTGACACGGAGTAGCCCTTCTCAACCGGCGTTTTCTTCAACAAGCCCGACCCTCGGCCTAGGTCCCCTTCCTAGGGACTGCCAAAAACGAAGCCTCCTACCCCTCGGGACAACCGAGGTAAATGATTCCCTCGCGTCGTACCATCTTCATGACGCCTTTACGTTGAGGACACCCATCTCCAATTGCCTAGCTCTTCTTCCATCGCCTACGGGCGCTAATCTCCGCCCTAGTCTTGCTTAGCGCCTAGCGCCGCCAGAGCGGCATTTCATGCAGGCAAAATTAGCGCAAAAATTAGCGCACGAGGATCCTTTCGAAAAAAACAAATTTTGGACCATTTCTCGATTTATGCGTGTCATCCTTGAAAGCGCAGAGGTCATGCTAATCTTCTCTGTATCGTTCCAATTTCCCAGCAGGTTTTTCCTTTCTTTGGTAACACCGGGAGGGAGATCCCACTAACGATGCATGTGGAGTAGTGTGACGGTTGCGGGACGTGCCGGCGACATCCGTGTGGCATCCTTTACTCCGCAATAAATGTTGGAAAAAACAAATTGCCGCAATTCTGACAACGCAATGTTGTCCACCCGCCGCGAACTGCGGTCAGCTGTCAGGTTGTGGATCTTCTGATGATTCTGCTGGTATGTTGTGCATGTGGACGGTTCATGGACCATGTACATGAGGACAAATGTGTTCATGGACCATGTACATGAGGCCAACACACATTCGTTAACGTTCCCCAACGAGAGGCTTGGAATGACAGACAAGTTGTGGAAGACTCTCACATCAACTGACATCCCTTCATGATGAGAAAAGGGGAACTTTTTCATTTTTGGCCTCTTTTGAACGCATGGGCAACGACGCAAACGTAAGAGGAAGGTGCGTGAAAATCCAAACAAAAAAAGTTGGTATGATTTTCACTCACGTTCATGACCCCCAGAGGAGAACCACAACAAAAGCAAAAGAAATGGCACCCAATGGGAGCCCGCAAAAGTCGTATGTTTCCCCAGGCCGAAAACCAAGAAAAACAACACCACTGATCACCGTTCTCGTCAACGGTGTCGAAGGGTCACACACCCTATGCGCTACTCCACATACATCGGTAGTGGGATCTCCCTCCGAGGGCTAGGTCCCACTAGCAAAGAGGATTGAATTGAACACCTGAATCTGGACTTGTTTGTGGAAAGGCGAAGACTGTCGAGATTGAACTGCTTTTTTGCATCTCTGCTTAAAACACGTCCAGATTCATAATATTTATCCAATCCTCTTTTCTAGTGGGACCTCGCCCCGGGTAGAATTGTGAGGTCCACGCGGTTGGGAAAATGATGGGGAAGGGGGAATGGGAGCGCTTCGTGGAAGCGCTGCGCTACCGATGATACCGTCGTCTGGAAACGGCGGCGCTCTGTGTCGACAGCAAGGCGCGGGTTACGAGGTGTGGGACGGAGCTATGGAGTACTCGGTACTCCTGAGGTTCGGCCATCTCCCTCAGCCTCGCCAAGGGGCTAATACCAGGGAGCAGGGTGGTTCCAGATCTGTCTACAACCTTCAACGCTCAAATTTCAGGCGATTGCAACCTCTGTATGAACCCCATTTCTGGGAAACATACATGACCAACGACACGAAGAAGGGAGAGTGAGTCCAATGCACGGCGAATGGTGAGTCAGACAGCGGCACTTCCGGGAGCAGTGGGAGGGCAACTGCCAACTGGCAGTGGTGGGACTGTTGTTGTGAGGAGCACAAATCAATTACTAGCGATTACCTCAACTGGGAGCGTGAAGACTCGAAGTGTGAGAAGACCTGAACCTCTAAAGACTCGAAGTGTGTGAGAAGACCTGAAGCTCTACAGGACGATGTCACCTTTGGGAAGTGGGAGTTTCACTGGTGGCCTTGGGAGCGTTTCTAGTAGTGCAAAGGGAGCAGAGCATTAGTCTCGACCGGAGGTCACGATGACACGTAGAGACGTTCACTTTATCTACCCTCCTCTGCTTTAGGTATACCGGCTCCTCCTTATCTGAGCCGTTTCCTTGTTCTGTTGAACGTGGAATTATCTTCCCTTCTATGCCACTCTCTGGGACTTCGAAACTTATCTTGGCTGCTCTTCTTGTTTTTGAACTTAGAGTGTTGCTGCTCTTTCTGTTGCTCGGCTTCACTACGGTGTGAACTTAGAGTGTTGGTGCTCTTTCTGTTGCTTGGCTTCACGACGGTGTGAATTTAGATTGTTGGCGTTCCTTCTGTTGCTTGGCTTCATTACAGTGTAAACTTAGATTGTTGGTGTTCGTTCCTTAGCTTGGTTGCCTCTAGTTTGTAACACACCTGATAGTTCCTTGCTAAGTTCTTCTCCTTTCGTATCTATCCTGGGATTGTCTGTAGCAGGCAACGGAACGATTAGAGGTAGTGGGAGACCTACTAGTGGTTGTGGCAGTGTTGCTGAGCTACTTAGGGCACGACCGATTAGCATTTAGCTGATAAAAGCGCAAATCTGGGTTGTACCCATTGAGATCTAGAGTACCTGGAATACGGTACTCCCTACAGAGTCTCAAGGGTACAAGATGGGAAACCTCGTCATGACAACCCTGTGACGAACCGATTTCTGCACCACGCGATCTTCTGCGTGGTAGCCACGAGAGGTCCTAAGATGGGAAGTACGGGCCAATTACGGGAGATGGGATTGAAGGGAAATTGCATCGGTGTCCTCGCTTTTTCGTCCTTTTTCGTCGTCTCTTTCCGAATGGTTGGGTTCGTGGCCGGGCTAGTCCCGGGACGATCGATTGATTGATTGGCTAGGTGAGCGGCGCGTCGTCGTGCCCTCGATTAATAAATGTTGACGTCACTTCTTTTGCTTCGGTTTCGGACTTTTGGGCGTGGATATCGCGCGGGAATATTGCTTCTTTCTTTTTGAATTTTCCTTTTGAATCTTGTCGAGCCCCGAGGGCTCTCAAAATTCGGATTTCCTTTTCATAATTCGTGCTTTTTCGCTTTTTTGAAGTTTTTTGACACTAGATAGGAATATAGGAATTTAGGACTTTTTCTTTTTGCCGCGTAGCGCTTTTTGCTTGTGCGCTTCTTTTTGCGGCTGCAACGGAGTTCTGATTAGTCGGCGCCTTTAATCGTGTGTGTAACAGTAATTTTGGGCGGGCGCCATTGTAACTGTATCTTTCTTCTTGTGCTTCCCGCTCTCGCTTTCTCTTGTTGTGTCTAGCCAGCCCACGGACTACATGATCGGATCGGTGCGTGGAGAGAGGCTACGTCCCCCACACCACGATCTAGCCATGACGACGGACTGTCCGCATCAAAGAGAGAGAAAGAGAGAGAGAGAGTTGAGGATGATGGATGCGGGTTCGCTATTTTCTTTATCTCTTCTCTTATCTTGTATATAAGTTTTGAGTTCGATAACAGGCGATTCGCCTTTATTTTGTTTTCGACACTTTGTCTCGGCCTGTCCTTGCCTTTGCGGATTTGGATTTCTGTTTCGGGCGACTCGCTAGTCTCGCCCCTCTTTCCCCCTTGCGTATTTGTATCATAACCTAGGCTACCAGCCGGGCCGCCCGGGTCCCGGCTGGCCAGCCCGTGCAAGGACAAGCGAAGGTCCCAGCAAAAAAAAAAAAAAAAAAAAAAAAWMRAAAAAATCCGAAAACAAACTATGTTATGCAGAACAATAAACTGAACAACTTTTGCCTCAGGGTCACATCGAAATTCTTTACCAAATTTAAAATAAAAAATAAAATTTAAAAATAATTTATTATTTTTATTCTTTATGGTCCGGCCGGGCAAGTGACCCCGGGCCACTCATGTAGCCTAGATCATAACACATTTTTGCTTGTTGGGATCATCCCTGTACTTCCTATGTATGGTTGAATGTATGGATGTTCCTTGTGTGGAATGAATGATATAATCGTTGTTTCTCTTTTCGTTTTTGTCCATACCAAGCATAGTAGCCGAGGATTGACTTGACGACTGGTTGCAAGATCTCGATGCATGCATCTCTCACCCATGAACGGAACCTGCGGAATTATGGAATGATTAGTGGAGCGATTAGATGAATTCGGAGACCACCTTGCAGTATGATGAAGCGATCATCTCGCATGAGCACGTGTAAGCGCGCTCCAGTCGGCACAGCCTATACGTACTCACACGCGACGGTTCGCGATCGAATATAGGCCAGGCACGAAAATTTTGACACTGAGTCCGGAAATTACCCCAGCCAGATAAATCCGCACCGAAGAATTTCGTCACTTCAGGATGATAAGATGACGTGTTCGAGGGACTCAGACTTGTCGTGGGATGCGGAGTATTTTTATCCTTGGCTGAGGGAGTGTCTCAGGCAACGGCGCCCGGAGTTTCCCTGCCTAACCGAGAACAGAATGTGGCCCCGGGAAT